GCAAGCAGGAAGGAAAGCGGAGCTAGTTCAAGCAAGCGAGCCCCCGCGGCCGTTCGGGAGGGCGCGATCCGAACTGTCACGGACACCCGTGGGCTCAGGGAGACGAGGAGGGGAACAGGTGGCGGGGTGGGGGATACCTGCGGTGCGGGCGTGCAAGGGCGAGGGATGGCCAGTGCACGTTCTGTAATCAAAACACGGGGAGCAGGATTTCACTCCCGAGCACCCGAGCAATTTCCTGTCATCGGGCGGGGAGGAGAGGGGAGCCCCACTGACGCCAGACTGTGCTTGTCTCCCTTTTCCAGCCACAAAAAGTACAGGGCTGCCCTGAAGAAGGAGAAACGAAAGAAACGTCGGCAGGAACTCGCTCGATTGAGAGACTCAGGTAACCGGCGTCTTATCCCGTTTTGTGTGTATGAATGAAATTGCTTTCCCCACTCCCGCCCTAACTGCCACAGTGTCAGAAGGATGCCAAGAACTGTGTCTGGTAAGAATCGCCGTGGCTACTGCCTCCTAGGTCAAGTCATGTTAGACCCCTGTGGGAAACAGTGCTACCTGCGGCACTGCAGAGGGGGGGAGGTCTTGGCGAGTCGTCATTCACTGATTATGTGTAAGTACCTGTGGACTGCGCAATATTACAGATGCACGCGTCATGAGTTGCAGCAGCTAGCGCAGCGCTTGCATGTACGAAGTATTCGGTGAATCTTTTTCTTTGCAAAACCAGCAGGAGTTGAGAATTTTAGACATTTTGCAAATGTCTCACAAACTTGAGTAACATAAGAGACCCTTTGTTGACTCAAGTTATTATTAATACATTATTGAAATATATAAGCATAAAACTAGTTATGAAACTTTTACTTAACTATAAAACAATATATATACAAGTTACAAAACCAAGTGAAATTACACATCCAGTAAAAACCACATCTGCATTAATGTGATGTTATGGATGATGGGAGACAGACACAACATGAATATGGCACTGATTGGAGTTTGAAATACTACTACTAATGCTGTTGCCCTGTGGTTATTTACCATGTTTTTTTCCTGTTAAAGTACTGTGGAACATTCATCTGTACTGGCCATGGTGTCATTTGGCCTTCACATGACAGAATCACTTACATATTAAACCTGCCTGTTTAATATAATGAAATTAGTACTACTAACTGAGTTATAAAATTATATAGTAGTTATAAATGCTTATGGAAGCACTGAAATTACACTGGAGTACTGGGCTCTAATGGTTGCCATCCAGATTATCCAAAATATGCTTATTAACTTATCCTGACGATTCTTGAAGTTCACAGACTATGGCCTCAAGTAACCAGGATTCTTGGGCCTTGAGAAACATAGCCATAGAAGTTTTATTTACCATTGGAGTTGCCTAGTAATTATTTTAATGCTTGGAATATTTAGAATGGAAAGAGCAGTGTGTTTAACTGCAACTTTTGTTACCACCTCCTTTTTTTATTCATTCAAAACTGCCCCACTAGAGGCACGATAAAGCATCAGGGATAAAAAGAAAAAGAGGGTAGGCTGGAGTTATTGATGCTCTTAGTGATCCCCCACCCCCTTAAAGTTCTCAGCTACCTTTGTTCATTAACCTGTTTTCTTCTAACACTTTTTTAAAACCTCTTATTTTTTCTTTCCATTTTAAACCCTATAGCTACTGTTTGTATTGCATTGATTTTTTCCCCTCCTTTGACTTTGCGGAGTGCTTTCAGAGTGAGCCTTTGTGGAGAGGCTGTGCATTGTAGCACACATTGGCTGGGTAAACAGTACCCAGAAGGCTAGAATATAGAGGTGTTCTAAAAAATTGCTATAAGAATGAGTTGACAAATGATTGATAGAAATTTCTGGAATGTTAACCTCTCAATGACAGGTAGCCTCTTTAGCACTCAGTTCTACTTAAAAAAAAAAACCTGAAATGAGCTGCCTTGTCAGCAAGTTGTAAAACTGGCATGATTCTATACATAGTTGCTTGTATAATACAATTAGATACATTTTACATGTATGATGAAATGTATGCAAGAATACACTTATGTAGAGAAAATGCTACACCCAAAACTCAGCAATCAATCACCTCTTGGTTTGAGGCATGATGGGTGATTAAGTCAGGCCACAGATGTTTTTGCATATTGGCTGTGCCCAAGCAGTGTCTAGTCTGTGGACATACCTCTGTAAGTCAGTCAGTCATAGCCTCTGTGCCAGGTTGTCTGGAGACTCTTTATGTACATTAGTTCATTTAATTATCTGAATTATTAGATATTATTCTATGTGAGTTAGAACTTAACCTAATTTTTTTACCGACTTTCTTTTAAATTTCAGGTGTTGAGAAAAAATAAAATTTACTTGCTTAAGAAAAGTAAATGATCTAGGATGAGGTGAACCTTTGGTTAGACCTAAACTCAGTATATGTGACAGACACAAAATCTTTTTCCTTTACGCCTGAGATCTCCTGTTACATTTCCTTAAGATTGCTTTAGTTTTCCTCATTTTTCCCCTCAAATTTAATTCCGAATAGAAAAGGATATGTGTTTATTATATTAAAATTTGTTTTCCCATGTTTTTATTTTAAAAGTGTGCCAGTGTAGAGAAAGTTGAAAAAATACTACCATAAACATACACGAACCCTTCAGATTTGCCCATTGTTAACATTAGATACATACGCACACATTTTTCCTGAACCCTTTGCATGTCAGTTGCAGGTATCATGACCGCTCACCGCTAAATAGTTCAGCCTGCATCTCCTAAGAATAAGGACCGCAATACTACACTTGCACTCAAGTAAAAGAATAAGAATTCAATGATATGACATATAGGCCATATTTAAACTTTTTCAAACCAAGATTGATTATTTTGAAAAGCCCTGCATCTGGAGTAGTCTGTCTTCTGATTAGTTTCAGGTTACACTCTTTATGCGTAATTACTACAAAGCTGATGCTGTATACCTCTTATTGCATACATTGAGGTCCTATAATGTCAGGTGGTTCCACTCCTTGTGATGCTATATGTGGTCATTGTTGCCAATCAGATGGCTCCATTGTAAAGAATGTCTCCGCCTTGTAATTAGTACTTTTTTATGGGCTAGTATTTTGAGATGGTGTAAATAAATATCCTTTTCCCAGCAGGGTTTCATCCAATGTTTTTAGCATCTTTGTCTAAAGTAGTTCTTACAGGGGGGGTTGCAAAAGTGATGGCTTTTCAAATTAAGTCTTTTTTAGTCACCATTCTTCTGCAAAAATGGATGTTTTCTCCCATACCCCCACCACCTTTTTGAGTATCAGTATGGAACCATCTATTAACTTTCTAAATTTAATGTGTTATCAACAACTAATATTATTCTTTTTGATGCTCAGATTGTACTAAATTTGGGCAGTTGGAGCCTTATTATTAGAAAGTTTTAAAAATCTTGCCCTAGCCAATTTTTCTCAGTGGTTAGAGCATTGGCCCATGAACTGAAGGGTCCTGGGTTTGATTCCAGCCAAGGGCATGTGCCTCAGTTGCAGGTTCAATCTCTGACCCTGGTCGGGCGCATGTGGGAGGCAACCAATCGATGTTTCTCTCTCACATCGATGTCTCTCTCCCCCTCTA